TTGCTTGCTGTGGGGAAGCCCTCTGGCTGGAAGCCACCATGGAGCCACTTTTAAATCAAATGCTGTAACTCCACAGAGTGACCTGTGGTTTTCATTTTTATCTTCTCTGGGATAAAGGGGCCCGCAGTTACAAAGGGCCCAGGAACCACGCGCTTGCGTTCAAGGTCAGGCCGGCGGCTGATCTGACGGGGCAGCGGGTCATCACGGAGGCCAGCGTTAGCGTCAGACAGTTTTATGACCTGCGGCCCTGCCGAGTTCCCAGGCATTCAGCGTGCCGTCACTCTCCGTGAAGGAACTTACAGATCATAGACCTGAGGGGCTGCCTTGCCCAGCCAGCCATTCGTCTGTCCATCCTCACCTGAGTTCAGGCCCAGGGGAGCCAGAGACTCCCAGCTCACTCCTCCCCTGTGACGGGCCCAGCTCTGTGCATCCTCCAGTCCTGTCTCCGGCCCCTGCTGCCGCGGGCCCATCCTGTGGGACCGAGCCTGTAGGGACAGGGAGCTCCTTGGCCAGGAAGCCGCTCATAAATATTCCCTCATGTGACAGGACATTGACCATACACTCCTGCTGACAAGGAGATGGACCTGTGCGATCATGTCTCCCCCAAAACAAACTTGCCTTGGGTTCCTCCCCAGGGACCCCTCTCTAAGTGGGCTGTCTGGTCACCTGGCCAAAAGGGCCTGCCAGCTGTCATGCTGCCGAACCTCAGCAAGGGGCTTTGAAAGCAGATTGGGTTACACAAATGTTCCCAAGCCCAAGGACTCAGCAGCCAACTGGAGGCCCCGGCTGGGTCACCCGCAGCGCAGGCTGTGCATAAGGCCTGGCATCTCCCATTCATGAATCCTCCCCAGAGCCAGTGTGCAGGGCAAGCATCATTGTCACCCCCCCACACACACATACACACACTTTATAGATGAACTTAGGTACAGAGAGAAAAGGAACTCACCCAAGGTCACACAGCCTTGAGGTGGCAAAACAGAGCCCTGAAGAAGGTCTGACTACTTTGAGTTCACACTCTGACCTGCTGTCCCCCAAGCTTTACTCGGGGCCCGGTGTCTGCTGGGGAAGCAGGACAGGGCACATGGCCATTTGACCACAAGACATGGAGAGGCACAAGCGAGGAGACAGAGCAACTTATCAGGGAGGCCACAGACAAAAGGGGCCTTGCAAGCTGGGCCTTGAGGGTGTGTAGGCGCTCAGCAAGCAGAGGCAAGGACAAAGAAGGGAGCCTCCAAGTTAGGGAGCAGCTCAGGCAAAGGCTGAGGGGAGAGACGGGCTTGCAGCTGGACGCAGCAGCAGGGAGAGTGGGGTCCTGGTGGCTGGGGCACTTGCCTCCCTCCTGAAGGGCCCACATAGACTGGCAGCACCCTGGAGGGTGAAAGGGTCCTTTAACATCAGAAGGTGGCGTGTGCAGGGCCAGGGGAGGCTGGGCGAGGTTGGGTAGAGTAGGGAGGGATCTGGGCTTTGTATTTTCGGCTGAGATGCCTCCCTTTTCGGTTCAAGTAGAAAGGAATTCATGAGGGGATCCAGATGCTGTCACAGGCAGCCCTCCCCCCTGTCACTGTGCCTCAAGGGTGTCCAGTCTAAGGGTGGGGAAATGCCCCAGAGCCTCTGCTTCTACTGCCCTTGGGGGATGGAGCCTGTAGGGCAGCCCTGCACCCACCGCCCTGCAGGGCCCAGCCGCTGGAGCAGCCTTCAGGAGAACCTCCTCCCAGAGACAGATTCCTCAGCAGCTCCGCCACTCCGCTCCCCCCCCCATCCCCCCCCACACACACACACATACCCTCTGGACGTGGTCTCAGCCTTTTCATTGTAAACATAAAATACGTCTAATTTAGAGATTTGTTAATACAGAAAACGTTACCAGAGATCACCTCCTATGTCCAGTTTTGCAGTCGTTGGTTTTAATTACCTTGTTTAATTACTAGCTGTGTGACTTGGACAGGTTAGCTCACCTCTCTGCTTTGTTTCCCCAACTGTAATGGGAATAACAATCTACCTCCTAAGACTGATGTGAGAACTAAATAGGCACACTATAGGGCAAAGCACAGGCCCCCCGCCCCCCTTCATGTTGTGTTTGCTAATCAAGGACCTGGCTGGATTTTATTCCAAGTAAAAATGCAAGCCCCTCCCCCAGGAGCCTCCCCTACTGATCCCATGATCCCAGGTTTGTTGCGGATCTTTCCTCTTCCTCTGGACCTTTTTTTTTGGGGGGGGGGGGGACTCTCAGCCTCCAGCAAGTCGAGTCTCCCCTTTTTAATTTCTCCTCACCCGGTGCTGGCTCGGCATTTTCCTGTTGCATTTAAACTTCAGGGTCCCCTGGGCTCCGAGGGCCTGGGGCGGGGACAGCCCAGGGTGAGTCACATTCCGGGACACTCCACTCTGGGCGCCCCGGTGTGTGCACCGAATCTGTGTGCTGTCCTGGAGAAGGGAACCAGGCCCGCAGCGCCCCGCCCGTCTAGCGACCGCGGAGGCAATCCTGGCCCCAGAGTTCTCTGCACCCAGGAAGTGAGCGGAGGCCTGTTCCTGCGAAAGGAAAGCATTCGGCCCCAAGCACCACGGACAGGGCGGTCGCGGGAGCCGGCTCCTCCCAGCCAGTGCGGGGGCTGCCCCTCGAGAGCTTAGCGGGGAGGGCGGCTTGGTCCATCCATCACAGAGCTGAGCGGGAGGCCGCTCGGCCACAACGCCGCCACTGTCTCTCCCGCCCTGGCAAGTGCCAGGGCACCTCCATGACCCCCGTCCCCAGAGTCAAGCGAGTGAAAGTCCCACCTAGGGTGGGGGCAGAAGCAGGGCTGGGACCGCGAAGAAGGGCGGGGTGCATCCAAACGGGCCTGCCAACCTCGCCACGCCTCCAGCCGACGGGCCACCCAGTGGCAGGGTTTGGTCAGAGTGGAGGAAACGCTGAGATTCCCCCGGTTCAAGTCCCGGGACACTGAGGCCGTCGGTCCCCATGGTAACCGGATCCCTGCGCAGTGTGCCAAGTCCAGGGGCGCAATAACGGGCCCCATCGCCGCGTGTCCGTGAGCGTGTCCACCCACAGACACGGAACTCCAGGCCAGCGTAGTGGAATCCGGGGCTGGAGACCCGCGAGTCCCCCGACAAACTTAATCTCCGAGCCCCCGCTACCGGGCGGCCCGAACGCCGGCTCCTGTCGCCTGCGCTGGCGGGACTGTTATTGTAATAAAGTGCCCAATGTTAGCTGTCATGTGACCATCTACATTCCCCAGTCTGCCCTACAGCTAGATGTGGCCACATGACTGAGTAGTGGCCAATGACATACAAGAAGAGGGGGCACAGTCAACTTCCAGGAATGTCTTTAAAGAGGTGCAGCCCTGTGACAATGCGGCGGCTTTGGGGATGGG